GCCACAAAGAACCTTTTGTGAAACAGAAAGGTTCTTCAGATGTTAAAGGTTCTTTATGGAACCATTTAGACAAAAAGGTTCTTCTATGGCATCGTGAAGCACCTTTATTTTTAAGAGTGTACTACAAAGTTAGTTTTCTAGGGTAACCTGTAATTAAAAGCCTTCAGCTAAATTTATATATCATAATTAAATAAATAAATAGGCACAAAACAATTTGTGAAATGTAAATATAGCCTATTAAAATATCAAACAACTGATTTGGCCAACAGAAATTGTAATGTGTAAATGCATGTTTTTTTGAAAGTCATAAATATGTAATGTAATGTTGCATGTATGTATGTTTTCAATTCACATACATTTCTAATTTTTTCTAATGCACAAATCTGTACACCCAGGGCAAACTCATGCAGACATAATAAATAAATACTGTTAGTATTAATAAATATACAGTGGAAAATCACTCATGTAACAGACTCTTTCTGTATATGTATAGAACGATGCTACTGTAATTAACTTGAACACTAACCGTGTGTAAACTCACCCTTCTCTCACATGAATAGTTCCTTTAAAATTTTCTGTATAAAAACAAATGAGGGTCAAAGGTCATACTGTGTCTTAGGGAGTCTAAATTAAATCAGTTCTTGTGTCTCTTTCCATTCTGAGGCTGGAGTGGTCAGGTTCATGATGTTTGAGAGGTTGAGCATGCTGAAAATCCAGAGCACCTCAAACTGGAGTGGAGCAAATGACTGGTACCATCAGCAGAACACAGTTCCCACCCAGCACAGCACTGGTGAGACGTCGTTTGACACCTTAAAGAAAACACTGATATATGTTTGACCTCCTCTGGCTGTATAAGACACATTAACAAGGCACTAAAATGTTTGTGTACAATTGTTGTATTTCAAAAATCAGTTTTTTTGGACTGAATTTGTTTCTAATTAACTTAAATACATTTAAAAGAAAAGGCTTGTGCTTAAAGGGACAGTTCACTCAAAAATGAAAAATCTGTCATCATTTACTCCCCCTCATGTCATTCCAAACCTCTATGAATTTCTTCTGTGGGACACAAAAGAAAATATTTTGAAGAATATTGATAACCAAACAGTTTTGGGGGCCCACTGACTTCCATAGTATGGAAAAAAAAAAGACTATGAAAGTCAAAGTGAACCAAAACTGTTTAGTTACAAATAATATTTATATTACGTATTATATATTTACTTATTACTTATTATATATATATTTACAAATTTGGGTATATTGGGTATATTTTGTGTTCCACAAAAAAGAAATAAATACAAGTTTGGAACAACATTGTTGTCTCTTTAAAAATCATTTAAAGGGGTCATATAATGCTACATGCACTTTTACAAGTTGTTTGAACTGAAATGTGTGTTGGCAGTGTGTGTACACAACCACCCTATAATGATAAAGATCCACCCAGTGGTTGTTTTTTTCTCATTTCAAGCCATTCTCAGATGCCTGTCTGTGTGACGTCACAAATACAGGCCCCTCCCACGATAGTTTGATTGACAGTAGCGTTTCAGCACAGACTGGACTGGCGTCTTACCTTAGCTCCGGAGCAGATGTAGACAAGAATGACTCCTAAGCGATTGAGGTGTTCTGTTGTTGGATGTAATAATGAACATAGCAGCAGTGGATTATGTTTGTTTTTGAAGGGAATGCGCCCCCGATGTACATAAATGCGTCTATGTTCGCGCGAATCATTCGTGATCCAGCTTCACCTACAGAAGAAGTGAGTATAAGGTTTTTTAATGAATATTTGCAAATCGTCTTTCCTAATAATGTGCTCATTAGCAAGTTTCACGATGAATGCGGCTAAAGTAAACAGTCTCTCTGAGAGCAGCTCGGAAGAGAGGGGCGGGGTCAGCAGAGCTCAATAACATTTAAAATGAATCTTTGCAAATCGCCTTTCCTAATAATGTGCTAATTAGCAAGTTTCACGATGAATGTGGCTAAAGTAAACAGTCTCTCTGAGAGCAGCCGGAAGAGAGGGGCGGGGTCAGCAGAGCTCATTAACATTTAAAGGAAAATGCTACAAAACTGCATGCTCTGAAAAGAGCTGTTTTTGACAGGGTAAAAAAGGTGTTTTTTTAGACTACCATTGAGAAATTTTAACCAAACTATGATATAGACTTTTCATTAAGACCCTAAATAATCATATCAACTTGTGGAAAATGGGCATCCTAGGACCCCTTTAAATGATTGAAATTGAACCTGTGTATAAATTTATTTGAACTATAATTGTATGTCATTCATTAATTCCTTTGTTCGTTTATTTATTAGAATTTTTAGAATTTAAAAATTTTACTGGTGATTCTGAAGAAGCTAAAATGTAAGACTTTTTATTTATTTGCTTAACAATTTTGGCTACTTACATAACTACCACTTGTTTTTTGATTATGATGGTTTATTATTATTGTAAAATAGTAAAATAGTTCTATGAACTAGTCCTTAAGAATTCATATAATGGTTCCCAGCTTCCACACTTTGTGATGTCAACAGAGTGACTTTTTTTTTTTTTTTTGAGCATTTATGTATTTCATTCTACAAATTGGTAACTATTTTTTCCCCCTCTGTTCCAGATTGCTGCCTGGTGGAGACGGATAGGAGGATGGCAGAAGAAGGAGGACATGGGGAAAGAGATGAGGGAGAAGAATCTCAACTGAGACTGCGGTTAAAGAAGAAACTTCAGCGCAACAGAACCAGCTTCACAACAGAGCAGATCGAGGCCTTGGAGAAAGGTAAGAAAATAGACAAAAAGCTTCAAAAAGTATTAATTATATTGCATTAAATGACAAAAAAAAAAAGCCAAGCAAGAAAAAATGTACTACTAAACTTCATTCACACCCGTCTAACAGAGTTTGAGAGAACACATTATCCAGATGTTTTCGCACGGGAGCGACTCGCAAACAAAATTGACCTTCCGGAGGCAAGGATACAAGTGAGGAACTGTCCTTGCCTTTATGTTGACTTCGCAAAAGCAGCTAAATAAATATGATAGATAACTTCATATTATATATTGGACCTTGATCGATAGGTGTGGTTTTCCAATCGAAGAGCCAAATGGAGGCGTGAGGAGAAGCTGCGAAACCAGAGGCGGTCTGGGGACGGGACTTCCTGTTCACAAACACACGCTCCACTGAGCACATCCTTTAACTCAGCTGTCTATCATCATCCGCATGGCAACAGTGCAGGTGGGAACGGAGGTTTACATAAATGAGAAATTTGCATACTGTACGTGGCGCTTTTTTCCTCTACATCTTTATATATATATATATATATAGCATTTTTTGGTTACTTACATAATTCCAATACTTCCATCTGTGTACATTCATGGTCTTAATGCTTTGATAAATAGTTCTGTGAATGAATGATTATTCTTATGAATTCATATGTACTCATTTAGTTGAGCTAAGCTGGACCTCATCTGATGTTTTTTTTTTTTTTCTCACATCTTTGTGTGTTTAGCATCCATGCTCAGTCAGAGTGACACAGCTCTCCCCAGTTATAACTCTCTGTCAGTCTACTCTGGGGTTCAGGTGAGACACTACTGCTCATTTTATGAGATTCATATTTCTATACAGCATTGTACTACCAATTTATCAGGGCTATGTACATATGTACTATTATGTATTAGCACCCTCTCGTGGTGACAATGAAACTGACATCAGTGATCACTAGAAAATCTGTATTAGTACATCACTATATTTGCCAAAATGTAAAACAATAAGCACTGCATGTAAGCTGCACTGCACTAAAAAATTATGTTGAATATACTTGCTTTCAAACAGTAGTATCACGTGATATCATCAAACACGAAAAAAAAAATAATGTGTTACTTGTCATTTCTTAATAATTAATTGTGATATTAACGATTTCTGAGAGAAAATTGTTTCAAAGTATATTCAACATCATTTTTTAGTGCAGTGCAGCTTACATGCAGTGCTAATTGTTTTACATTTTGGCAAATATAGTGATGTGCTAATACTGTTTATAGTGATATAGTATAAAATGCATACTGTGCACAGTAGTATGTTGGTATATGATTCTGTTCTTCACTGCATTTCAATACTATTTTAAATTTTTCTGTTTTGGTATTTACAATCTGTCTGTGTTTTTTTTTCCCGCTCTACTAAACGTTTCTTTGCAGTCGGCACCTTCTCCATCCGCCTCCTCATACTCGTGCATGCTGCCTCCATCCCCGTCTGCGCCACGCTCGTTTGAGACGTTGTACTCCTCTCCCCATCTACCACCTCCTCCTTCAACTAACACCAGCACAGGTGAGTCTACCAGCTGTCTGTGTGCGAACTAAACACTAAAGTTATCCATCACAATATCCTAACAATTACTGTTTAAAACACTTTCAATGCCCCCTTACAGTGGCGGTTCTACATTGAATTACACCCTGGGCGAGACCCACTTCGGCTGCCCGGTTCGCCCGTGCCAAAAACCGCTACTGCCCCCTTATCTACTTTATTTCTTGGTTTATCTGTTGGCTGGTTGTTTTAAAGGAATGAAAATTTGCTGAAAATGTACTCACCTTCAGGCCATCCTAGATGGATTTGTTTCTTCATCTGAACATATTTGGAGAAATGTAGCATTCCATCACTTGCTCACCAGTGGATCCTCTGCAGTGAATGGGTGCTGTCAGAATGAGAGTCCAAACAGCTGATAAAACACAAGTAATCCACGCCACTCCAGTCCATCAGTTAACATCTTGAGAAGTGAAAAACTGTGTGTTTGAATGAAACGAATAATTAGAATTGATGGACAGTGTGGACTACTTGTGGTGACGGCACCCATTCACTGCAGAGGATCCATTGGTGAGCACGTGATGTAATGCTGAGTTTCTCCAAATCTGCTTTGTTGAAGAAACAAACTCATCTACATCTTGGATGGCCTGAGGGTGAGTAAATCTTAAGCGAATTTTCATTTTTTTGGTGTACGACTCCTTTAATAGATAAAAGTGCATTCAATTTTCCATATTTTTCTGTTTTAGGTTTGATTCCTCCATGCATTTCTGTACCTGTCCAGGTGCCAGGAAATGATCAGAATATGGGTCAGTATTGGGCCAGACTGTAGTGAAAAGAACAGGGGAGGTAGATTTTGCATTAGAATACTAAATAGGCATGTTTACAAAAGGTTACAAAAAAATCTAAACTCTGAGGAAAACAATCCTCTGGGTCAACCTAAAGGACAAAACTCCTAAATTTGACATGCACATTTTTTTTTTAGCCATATTTTTTAGATCTCATGACAGTGTGCAATATTTGCTTCCGTTCAATTTCAGACAAAAGAGGAATGTATATGATTTGTATATGTGATGATGCATTGATGCATGATGACATTTGTGCTGATTTTAAGCAAATGTCTTTTCAGAACTACTGACATCAGTTCCTGGCAGCAACTTCACAGAATTGGGAGCATGTTATGATGATTTAATAACATAACTCTGGTTTCTGCTTCTTTTACGATAATTCCCCATCTCTCCACTGTAATTTCCCCATTAAAGTCATTTATTTGTTGTGATCATTTTCATAATCAAATATGTGATATATCACTTTTTAGGAAATGTTTATGATCTTACCTTTTCACAAACCTCAATAAGCTTGAGACAATCATGTTTGCACTTAATCATTGACCAGTAAACAACTGACTGATTTAAAAAGCAGAAAGCAGTCAGTGACAATCACATAATTTCTCTGAAAGCATCAATGAATACTGTATGCAAAATGTATTCCCAAAAAATCTTCAGAATGCATCTCATTGGCAATCCAAAGTATTTATATTGAACATATTGTGGAAATATGTTTGAATATCAAGAAACTATGTCTGTAAACTATAGTTTATGGATTGAGTATGAATGCAAAGACAGTGTGTGTGTGTGTGCGTGTTTTTGTGACAAATGAGGACATCAATTTGTATAATGACAAGGGTATGACATAGGTATTACAAGGAGAAGGTGACTTTTCAGGACATTACCCCATGTCCCCACTTTTCAAAACGCATATAAATCACACAGAATGGAGTGTATTGAAAATCTGAAATAGAACAAAGTTTCCTGTGTGTGTAAAGGAGAGAAATTAAGGATTTACATAGGATTGCATAAGGATTTACAAAGGTCTGAAAGCTGTTGCTTCTGGCCAAAATACCATTCCATAATCCAAAATAACGCTTCCTGCATATCAACCCACTTATTTGTTTAGAACTGTTTTGGCTTATAAACGGCGCTTGATCTGTGCTTATTTCTCTCCTGATTCAGACAAGACGACTTTTTCACAGGAGGAAGCAATATTATGGATAGAGGACTTGCATTTTAGCCAGAAGCAATGGTTTAAAAGTTAAACACAAGCTTTTTGCTTCACAAGATGTTAATTGATGTTCTGGAGTCGTGTGGATTATTTGTGGATTATTATGATGTTCTTATGTTCAATTTCTCCATATCAGACTATTCCTTTAAACTGGTATCTTAAAAAAAAAAATTTTTTTTGGGGCCAAATCCTAAAATATTCAGTTTATTTCTAGAATTAAATAAAAATAAAAAAAATCACAGTTTGTCAATTTTTGATCCCATTGTACTTGTATGTGGATGTTGTGTTCACTCGCTTAGTCAACCCATTTCATGTATGCATTAAACCCTTTAATAAAACATGCAATTTTGAAATGTGAGTTGTATCATCCCAGTTGATCATAATTATTGCCCATTTAACCAAATAAGCATATGATCATTTTTCACAGTACATACACACATGTAAATGGTTTCACTTAAGGGACATTCTGATTGCATAACACCATCATGTGAATTTTTATATCTCTTTATGTATATACTGTTTTACTAGTTTCATATTTGAGTCCACAACAAAGCCTTGATGAGTCACAAGCTTTAAATAGTTTTAGTGAAGCAGGAATTAACCCAGATTATCTAGCCATTAACATCACTGTGTGTGTCTCTCTTCCTCTTTCTTTCTTTCTTTCTCTCAAGGCATTAGCAATACAGTGTCATGTACCACTAATAGTGCTTTCAGATGCACTCTGGCAGTTGGGGGGTTGGGGAAATATGGGAGAGAAGTAGCACTGATGGTTTGCTGGCACTTTCAGTCAACAGTAAATGGACATGCTGGAGCTCACAGATATGATCATGTGTGTTTTATGTTGTCTGTTAACTTTTTCTTTTTCTTGAAATTCTGAGCTTATATCTCACTATTCAGATTTTTTTTCTGGCAGTTCTGAGACAAAAAGTCAGAACTGCGAGATATAAACTCAGAATTGCAAGATATAAACTAATATATAAAATGTCACAACCTTTTTTATTTTTTATTCTGTGGTAGAAACAAAAAAAAATCTGAGAAGAAAGGTCAGAATAGTGAGATGTAAATAGAATTCAGATCAAAGAAAAAGTCAATATTGCAAAACATAAACTCTGAATTATGAGATGTAAACTCAGAATTGCATTCAGAACTATTTTTTTTTATCCAGTGTATAAAACAAGCTTCCATTGACAAGTGATTACCTTGAGTGAGTCAGAGTATCATGCATGGATGGGCTTCGTTTGGAAAATCTCTTGGCAATATTGTGTGCAAAATGTAAATTAGTCAATATTAATACACTGTTTGTTGAACTGTTGTATAAAAACAATATCAATGTGTGGTCATATTCCAGTCAAATTTCACGTGCAAAAAAAGTCCAAATTTGTCAACTGTGAACAGCTCACACAGAAGTCAGTTTCGAACCAAGCAGTTTCTCTTGGTCCGTGAGGTGAATCTGAGTGACCAGCTTGAACATGAGCAAAATCTGTGTGGGGAACTTTTTCACCCTCACGCAAAACTCATGAACATGCGGATTCCTATTGAAATGACACGATTACACTCACCGGCCTTTGCCAAGCAACGGTAAATGTGACCACACCTCGATATTAGCACATATTATGAACAACAGCAGTCTTGGTGTTGCTAATCGAAGTCCTGTTTTGCATAATTTACCGCATGTTTATGTGTCTGATATACCTTGAGCAGTATGTTGAAATTTGTCCCATGACAAGAAAACTGCATGACTTTGCATTAGATGTACTTCTGTTAAATACACTGGGGCCTTCAACTTCAACTAAAGTCAGTCTTCTAACTTGTTTCTTAAAACACACACACACACACACGTTTACTTAGCTATCTAAATGGGGACTCTCCATAGGCGTAATGGTTTTTATACTGTACAAACTGTATATTATATCTCCCTGCACCAACCCTACCCCTAAATCTACCCCTTACAGGAAACTTTCTGCATTTTTACAATAAAAAAAAACTTTGTTTACTTTATTTTTATACCAGTTTTACAAATGAGGACGTCCCCAAAGGGAGGTTTTTGGAGATTTTGTCAGGTTTAGCTCACTTTTGGGTACAAATTTGTCCCCAAAATATGGTTAAGTAGGTACACACACACACACACACGTTTACTTAGCTATCTAAAAGGGGACTCTCCATAGGCGTAATGGTTTTTATACTGTACAAACTGTATATTATATCTCCCTACACCAACCCTACCCCTAAATCTACCCCTTACAGGAAACTTTCTGCATTTTTACAATAAAAAAAAAA